ATAGTTGCATTATTTGAAGCAGTGGCAATAGTTGCATTATTTGAAGCAGTGGCAATAGTTGCATTATTTGAAGCAGTCATAATTTGTGCTACTGCTTGATTTGTAGTAGAATCACTGACATTAGTAGCAGCATTTATGAGGTTGAGATTATTGTTGTTATTAATGACAGGATTATGTTCTTCAAATGTCATGCTTTGTTTTTTGTTAATTAAATTGGCAAGATTTTGTTGATTATGTAGATTTTTATACATGGCAGCCTGTTGAGCAACACTGAAAGATTGAGCATATGAATTATTCATTCTATTCTGCTGTTGCTGTTGCTGTAATCGTAATTGTTGAAAATATTTTAATTGTTGTTGTTGTTGTTGTTGGTATAACTGTTGTTGTTGCTGCTGCTGTAATTGCTGTTGCTGTTGCTGTGATATTTGAGAGGATTGTAATTGAATAGTGGTGTTGTTTGGTTTAACAGAGGGAGTTTGATGAATTTGACTTTGAAGAATTGAAGATAGTTGAACCATAACAGGTGGATTTGTCAATTTTGAAGGACTGGATTGTTGGATGGGTAGAGTGGTATTTATATTCATCTTCATATCATCACTAACAGTAACTTCAGTGGCAGTATGTTCTTCTTCCTCCTCCTCTAGCTTAATTTTTTTAAATGACAAAGTAGATTCAAATGCTCTTGTTGTGTAACCTATTTTAAAAAAGAAAAATTAATATTGATTTTTTTTCTTAAAGAAAAAAATTTTTTTTTATGAATTATGACTTACTTTCATTTATTTGAGGTCTTTTGACAATATTAGAATTATTCTCAATATTTTCTTGATCAAAAGTTGAAGGGAGCTGAAGAAGATTAAGATTATGAATATTATTATTATTTAGATTATCAGTATTATTACTATATGAAAATTTATCATCTTTAAAAATTAATATTAAAGTTTCATATAAATTGATTAATTGAGATGAATCAGGTCTTTTATCAGGATCAGAATTCCAACAATTTTTCATTATTTCCGCATAAGGAATAGGAATATCATTGGATATTGGTAGCCTATATCCTTTAATAATTGATACAGCCATCTCAGCATTATGAACTTCATTTTCGAATGGTAGTGTTCCTGTTGCTAATTCCCACATTATTATTCCAATACTATAAATATCAGCTTTTTTAGTATATAAATAATTTCTTAATACTTCTGGTGCAATGTATGGTAACACGCCTTCAATGGAATTTGATTCTAATTTCAACAATAATAAAAATAATATTATTAGAATAAACAAAAAATAATTCAATTTATAAAAAAAAAATTATTCTTTTATTTACTTTTAATTTCTTCTTCATGTTGGCATAATCCAAAATCTCCAATATAAATTTTACTCTGATCATCAACAAGAATATTTTTACAATGGAAATCTTTATGAAGTAATTTCATTTCATGCATTGAATTTAAAGCTTTTGAAATTTCTAAAAGTAATTTTGATTTATCTAGCCAAGTCAAATTTTTATGTTCCCTTAAATACTTTCTAAGATCTCCATATTTTGCTTTTTTTAATATCATTGCCAAATTATCATAATTATCTGATCTAAAGTATGTTATTCCATAAAATGGTACTGCTAAACTATTGACAAGGGAACATTTATAATGAGTTTTTAACTTAAAATTGAAAAAAATTTTTGAATTTTAAAAATAATAATTAGATATTTATATGAATAATTAAATATTTTCTTCCAAACTATATCAAGAATTTTTTTTACCTCATTTAAAATTCTATCATTAATAATTAATGAATCATTTAAAACTTTGATTACAACAGGTTTTGATATAATTTTTGAATTATCATTGTAATCATCGTCATCTAATAAATTCCAGTCACCAATATAAATAGTTGAAAATCCACCTTTTGTAAGTGGTTTCACATTATTAAACCTTTTAATAGGAATCCATTCAATAAAATCATCGCAATGTATTGATGTTGTTTGTGTTTCTTTTATAAACGAATCAATTTCAGCGTTTCCACTCATAAAATTCGATTCCGAGTTGAATCCTCTATTTAATATTACATTATTATCGAATTTATTGGATTTAAAAGATGACAATAATTTTTTTCTACAAAATTCATTTGAATCCTCTCTTATTTTGATTTTTTTACAATTATTGCATACCATAATTTTTTTATTTATCGTTACACGTTTATTTTATTATAAAATTGGTTGGTCTATAATTTAACAGGGGCTCATTCGCATATATCACGCCAAAAATGCACGACATTACATATCAGCCGATTTGGTTTTTTGGGCCTTTTTTCAAACCTTATGTCTTATTGTGTCTCGATGTTAAACACGAGT